ATGCTCATCCTCCTCCACTGATTGAGTCAGCTGTGACTGTCGCAACTCTGGCAGCAGCAGCGGCAGCAGGAGCATAATGTGTGCCACAGTGGCTGTGGCTGTGGTTGTGGCTGCAACTGTGGTTGGGCTGAGGTTCTGAGAGCCAAGCAACTGGCATAAATTCTGTGCAGGCAACCCGCTGGCTTTCATTTCTAATTTTTGCATTTGGACCACTGTGGGATCGGCTACCGTCTATCCGATGGGGCCCGATGTCGATGTCGATGGCGATGTTTTAGCGCATTTTATTGCTTTATTTGAGACTTTGGCATCGCAACGCTTGTCAATTTTACAACTTTATAGAGGCGAGCGCTTATCGTTTGCATATTTATGCCCCGCTCGATGGCCATGTCGCTTAATATTTTTGACATATTGGCTATGCCGTGCGCTCGGCCCAGCCATTGTGTGCCCGGACTGGACTGGACCTAAGGCTGCTGTCTGCTGTTCGGTGTCTGTCTCTGCCTCCACCTCTGCCAGCCAGCTCTGCTCTGGCTGGCTGTGAGAGGCTCATTGTTGTCGTCATTTGTTGACTGCGCCTTCCACAGAAATTTGTGCAACTCGACTCAAGGAGTTGAGTTCTGTATTTGAGTCTGCGTCTGCGTCTGTCTCTGTCTCTGTCTCTGTATCTGTGTCTGTATCTGTGTCTGCGTTCGCATTTGAATTGCAAATCCTATTATGACTTGTGAAATTATAATTTTTCTAGCCAGGCCGCACAGCCACTCCAGGTTCATGTCCATGTCCATGTCCAGGGTCCAGTCTACAGTATACAGTCGGCAGTCTGCAGTCTACAGTCTTCAACCTTCAGTCCGCACTCTGCAGTCTCTTGTCTGCAGCCTGTTGTCTGTTGAAGCAGAGGGTTCAATAGCATGAATTATGCATATGCAGGCGCTTTTGGGGCGCACACGCATCCCATGCACTTAGTTATGATAACGTTGCACATTTTGCTGCAAGTTGCTCCTGCTCCCGCTCCTGCTGCTGCTCCTCCGCCTTCTCCTCCAGGTCTGCAACCAAAGCATCCTCATCTATTTGTTTTGGCCAGCTACAACGCAACACGCCACACGCCCCACGCCTCACAAACAGAAAAGAGGTGCATCCGCAGCAGCATTCGCATCCAAATGGCCAAATGGCTTATGCTTTATGCGTAGCAGCTGCTGCTGCGGCTGGCCACTGTAGACACTGCAGAGCAGCAATGCGAGATGCTGACTCGGACGACGCCCCCTCTTTTGGGTGCTACCGCAACTCGAACTCGAACTTGGGCTCAACCATTGCTGACAGAACAAAGAAGTCGTTCATTTGTAATTGTTGTTGCGGCTGCTGCTGCTGATGCAGCTGATGCTGATGCTGATGCTGATGCTGCAAAGGGCGCACACGGCCAAAGGATTACCAGCAGCAGATGTAGGGAGACGCACATACTCCAACACATATCTATATATGCTTTGCTATATGTGTAGCCGAAGTGTGTGTGCCATGTACACATATTTATGCTCATATAGAGGCTGTATGAGGATGTGCGCTTGCATATCTTTTATGACTTTTGACTTGCCTTTGACTCTGCTCGGGCCGGGTTGAATGACCGCCTGACTGCATGTGTTCGGCTGATGAGCTTTGTCGAAAATCCATCCATGGTCAACATTCAGACACAGCCATGAGCCGTAACTTAATGCCTAGTAGGAGTCTTCAAGCCGGCCTTATGAGGCATTGCTGTCGGTGATAATTAAAAAAAAAAAATGCACTTTAGAGTCCTCACAGCTAATACAAGAAATGTTCACCGCATGCTAACCAAATTTTATGTTAAACCAAAGTTATTTATGGTTGGAAAAGTAGTAAGGAATGCCTAATAATCATACTTTGCTTTCAACACATTTAATTAATTTTTAGCATTTACATACCCATCGCATTGGAAATATCTAAGAATTATACATAAATGGCAATTCTTTTGAACATCACTGAAGCCTATATTCAGACAAAGCTGGGTATGAAGTGAGAAAGACATGTCCAAAAGAGCGACAAAGACTAAGGTAAAACAAGAATACTTTAAAGATCTACCGATAAAGGTGAAACGATAATCTTGAAAGCCCTCATACAGAATAGCTTCAAAATGGACTTAAGAACGGTACAATATATCAAGCTGGTTTTGCATTGTTGGAGTTTCTTTTTCCATTGGTCAACTAACGAGGACTCCCAAGAGACTTACAAGTTCCCTCCTAAATTGTATATATATCATCTTACTTTATTCTGCATTCAAACAACTTCTTTCGTGTTTCACTTTTCTAGTTAGCATCTGCTTTCCATAATTTCTGGTTAGAACAAAAAAGTAAGAAGGTAGTAAGCCCATCGTGGGCTTAGTCTAAGTGGAGGACTGTAATTTCGTATGCAGGCAGTTCTTGCCCACTCACGGCTAAATAAGCAGCCTATTAGCTGGGCTTCTTTTTGCAACGCCAACTCCGCACACAAATCACACACAATTAGATATCAGTCAACGTGGAACGCTGGTCAACTGGCCATGATTGGGGCCTCTGCTCGTCCAGGGCGCACAGCCTGCAGTGATTTCAGCTATGACATTACCTCAATGTCAGGGCAAATTTGCAAATTAGCAGCAGACAACAAAGGAATTATATATGCACATTATATAATGCGAGTAGCGAGCCAACAACGTCAAATGATTGGGCACCGAGCAGAAAGAAAACCCAAAGCCCAAACCGAATCAATTTGCTGCGGATCACAAAATGAAAACGAGAACTGGGGGAATCGTCATGGCATGGATCTGACTGCTACAGTCCCATCTGCTGCTGCTGCTGCTGTGACTGCTCCTCCTCCTCCGCCTCTTGACTTCAAGCACACATTTTTCCCATCATTAACATTGCGCAGACGAAATCTGCATGCGGATGGAGTTAAGCCAGCCAAGAAACATGCGTACTTAGTTACAGAGCTCTTGCGTCTGCGACTATTTGTTTCACGAATTCGCAGCGCATTAAACCAGAGAGCAAAAAGAAAAAACAAACATCTATAAAGGCAAAAAACTAAAAGGTGAGGCATTAGCAACTGCAGGATATCCTAGAAGAAATTTATGAAATACTTAGAATATTAATTTTATAATACAATATAATAAAAACTTAAGAATCAATACAACTCATTTAGAATCATAAATAAATTGCTATTAAATATATTTGTGAATGATAAATAATAAATAATATTGAGATATTTACTTATATTACAAATAACTGAAATTATAAGCAGAAAACTATAGAACAACAAATTTTTGTTTAGAGCTAAGATAATAAACTTTGAGCCATAAATTAATTAAAATTAAGTATATTAAGTATATTATTAAGTATATACAATTCAAAAAAATTAATACAATAATTATTGAAAGAAACGAAGAACTTATTTTGTATTTATTTAAATAAACTTAAATTTGTAATAAAAATATTTCTACAAAAATTATATATGTATATTTATTTAAAAATAATAATAAAAAATTTTTTTTTTTTAAATTTTAGATCAACTAATTATGATAAGAAATATGTCAAGGTTCAGTTATTATATTTAACTATATTCTATTTTATTTGACAACCACATCTTAATCCATATTTCAATAGACAATCGCAACAGAATTTGATACTCTATAGCAGTTTACTCTCGATTGGACAAATGCTCATAATGCAGGGTATTCAACAGCAACAGCAGTGGCACTCTGTCCATCGGTCCAAACAAGGCAAAAGGCATGTCCATCCTCCTATCGTAACAAGAACAATTTGTTCTAATGCGCCATGGCAGCGGCAGCGGCAGCAGCAACAGTAACAGGAGTAGTTGGAGCCATCGCAACGTGGTGCTGGAGATGCATAGAGAAAGGAAAGGGCAGCCACTGAACACGCAATGGCCAGAACAAATGTAGACATTAAGCTGCTGGCTGTGGCCGAAGCGAGCCCGATTTGGGAACGGAGGCGGCAGGCAGACGGCGATGGGTGGAACGTGGACGAGGCGCGCCTTAACATCGAGTGACACGCAATGGACAAACGCCAACGCCAAACAAAGCAGCTGGCCATCATAAAAAACATATACAAATACATATATACTCACATGTATGTATATATATTTGTGTAAATATATTTTATATATGAAATTTGCCATATTTCTCGCGCTCAGCATTTTCCCAGCGGACGGACTTCTGGTAGCATTTCAATAAATTCGCTGTGGAAATTTCATTAATCGCCATTGGAGGCAGATCCCCCACCCGCCCCCTAAGCCTCGGGCGGGCAGCAGGTGGACGGCAGCTAATGGCGAGGATGCCTCCGTTGCTGGTTGCGCCATGGCCATAAAAATATTTGCCGCCTTAATGTGAGTGGCTTATAAATTTGCACAAACGCGACCATATATAGTAGCTCAGCAATGGGCCCATTGGGGGCAGGGACAGGGGCAGAGGCTGGGACAGGGACCGTCAACGGAACGCAGACCACCAACCACCAATGCCTGACAGTTGTACCTAACTGTTATTGTAGTTAGCTTGTTGGCATTGGAAAGAGGTTTAGTGGATTTCCTAGGTGAGCTTAAGGTTTTCTTTTCAGAGGAAAACTCGATACTCTTTGCTCTGTCATTCATAAATATATATACAATTAGTGTATGACTCTATACTTGTTAGTTAATATGAATACGAAGCATTATTGTTAACTGTTTTTTTCATTTATTTAACACTTGCAAAATGTTTCAATTGCTTATACTATTTACAATTACAAATCTAACTTTCTATTGGTTTATATTTGGTTTCGTTAACGGGTGTAATGAAGTGGATACAAAATGCAGCTCGATTAAATTAAGTAAATATGCATGGCCACAATGAACTAAGTTTAATTTAGGCAAACTTACGAGCTAAAACTAAGCGATAAGCACTGCTCTGGCAAGTTTTCATTGAAATTAAGCAAAGGGCATACCCTTCATCTGTGGTTTGGTATTCTCTTTTCTTTTCATTTTTGGCATAACTAAGACTGAGGTTGTGTAAATTCACTTTGGAGCTTAAGTCTAAACATCTTTGGACTAAATCATTTGGTTGAATTTCCTATTTAACTTTTTGGGATTGCAGCTAAATGAAATGGCAAGAACTAATTCTAAGCACGGCGTTTACTCTATGGCACAATCGCTTTGCTGGCAAGCAGTGAGCATTAGTCGCTCTTTTCTGTCGCTACTTCTGGTTCATGTACATGGTCGCAATCTTGTCGAGTATCGTGTCGATGGAGAGCAGCTCCTCGCTGAACTTCTGCATGGTCTGCGCGGGCACAATCCACTTGAGAAACTCCTCGACATTTAAGCGCAGCCTAGCCAAAGGCGTCAGCTTTGCGTCGTCGTGTGACGGACGCTGTGCCAGCTTCAGGGATGCGATGATAACATTATCAATCAAACGCTTCTCGTAGCCCAGTTGACGCAGCTTCTGCGCTGAGCTAATCTTCTTCAAAACAACGGCAATGTTAAACCGAATGTTGGACAGTGTATGAGCATCTTCGGTCTGGCTATCGTTGAGCTCCCCCGTTGCTTTGCACTTGGCACAGTGCTCGGAATGCGCCTGCAGCTCCACTTTGATTTTGAAGAACTCATGGCAGCCAGGACACATGTAGGGTTTCTGCTGCTTGTGTATCTTCTTCATGTGGTTCTTGAGATGCGCCAGCTGCGAGAAGGCCACCTCGTCCGTGCATAGCTGGCAGCGAAATGGCTTTTCTCCCGTGTGCTTGCGAATGTGCAGTTTCAGCACGCTGGAGTGGGCGAACGTTTGATGACAGATCTGCAACAGATGCAACATTGATTCAATTAGAAGATACGTCTCCTGTCAGTCCCCAGGCTGCCACTTACCCGACACTGATACGGCCGCTCCCCCGTATGCATTCGCATATGCACATTGTACTGCGACTTCTGTGTAAAATATGAATTGCAGACCTCGCAGACGTGCGTCTTAATCGCAGCGTGCTTCTGCATGTGCGTGGCCAGGTCCTCGTCTGGTTCGATGGTCTTATGGCATATTTCACATTCAAGTTGACTCAGCTTGTGGTGTTCCTGATTGATGTGAGCGCGCAGAGCCAATTCAGTGGCAAATTGGCTTTCGCAAATGGTGCATTTGTGCTCCATACCCTGCTCATGGCGTTCCATGTGCACACGCAGATTGGCATTGGTAGAAAAGCTGGCCGAGCACTTGGTGCAGTTGAATTGCTGGATGCTCATCTTGTGGTGGGACACCATGTGCTGCTGGAGCTATCGGAGAAATTCAGAGCTATCAGTTTCAATATGAGATAATTGCAAATTTATTTCGCTACTCACTTGGCCGCCTCGTGCGAAGCGTTTCTCGCACAGCGCACACGGATATGGCTTCTCACCCGAATGCAGACGCATGTGCAGCTTGAGCCGCTCCTTGAGGGCAAACGACTTCGGGCACTGCGTGCAGGCGAACTGCTTCTTGTGCTCATGGGCGGTGGTTATGTGGTTCTTAAGATTCACCGCCTGGCGATAGCACTTGCCGCATTCGGTGCATTTGTGGGGCCGCTCATCGGAGTGGATGAGCATGTGACGTTGCAAGTCGGTCTTGCCTCCGAACTCCTTCGAGCAGTGACTGCACACGTGTTGCTTGCGCTTGGAGGACTCGGTCTTGCGTGGTGATTTCTTCGGCTCTGGTTGAATGTAGTCTGCATCTGTATCTGTTGAGTCCTGCTCAGCCTCCTGCTCGCCATCCACGAACAAATCTTGCAGACTGCTGTTGAGGCTGCTCTTGCGCCGCTTAATGGCCGTCGCAGCGGGCGAGGACTCTCGCGCCGCCGGCGGCGATGACAGCGAAATACCGCTATCCGTGAGCAGAGAGACGGCATCCTCCTTCGAGAGGCTGCGACGGCTGCGTACCATGCTGAGTTAGTTTTATGTCTGTTACAGAGCTTCCTGCACCCGGCACCAGATGCTAATTTACTTGGGTAAGGGGTTAATGTTTCTACGATAGGGTTTTGCTTTTGTTTTTTCTTTATAGATTGGTTTTTTTTAGCTAAAAAAGTAGATGCCCAAACACCTTGGATTGTTATAGCGATTTAGTTAAATTTTCGCTGCAAGAAAAAGTTAAGAGCTGTTGTTAATTATTTAGCTTGCAATGCCACGTTCTAAACAACTCACAAAACACAAAACAATGAAAACAACAATAAGAATTTCAGCTGTGTCCACCGAACTTCAAAAACTGTCGCTGACGATAAGAATTGTACTGGGGGGAGGCGCAGAGAGAGGCATATGACGAATTACACAGAGAGAAAATTACCAGGTGATTGAAACCAAAAAAAGTTTACATGCTCTAAGCAATAGAGTTCTTATTAAAAAATAATTGTCAAATTAATGTTGACTATCTCACGTTCACTCACAGAATAAATTTTAATACTCGACTAGGGTACAGTTTTTTTTAAGTGTAGTAGTACTTTATTTATTTCGATCACTTTATCAGCTAGAATTTCCAGGTAGTATATATAGACGACATATGTGGAAACTCGTGTGCGTTACACTCAAAAGTTGTTTAGTTTGTTTTCTCAATCTTTTGTTTGGAATGCGAGAGAGCGACTGCGCCGCCAAGCTAAAACACTGATAAGCGCACGACAAAGGCAATAACTGATAAGGCGTAGTCTGATCAGATAAGAGTCAACTTATACAACTGTTGGTAAGATTTTCACTAAGCAATTGCTGCTGTTCTTGATTCTGCTGCTGCTGCAGTCGTTGCTGCTTGAAACTTCCAATGAAATGGCATATTAAAGCAGGAAAACTGCATGCAGAACAAAGAACTGTGAAAATCAAGAATAGACGACGACGGTGACGACCCTGGGAACAGTTAGCACGAAATGCTCACTACATAAACATCTGGCGAACAGATTGCCCATACACACATACACATGCACTTATACACCAAGAGGAGATTTACAGACCTTTGGCGACGCTTCATTAACATCACAAGCACAAAAAACATGAGCAACCAAATTAAGGGGCGGCGGCGCGCGCCAAAACTTACTGTGCTTAGTTTCTATGAAGCTATTGACGGCAATCGGGAACAGCATTGAAGCATGATGTGCCCAAGTGCAGGGACAGGGCCACAGTTCACACAGCTGCACGTTACGCAAATGAAGCGTAAAACGAAAATGAAAACAGTGCTGAAAAGCGAATTGGAAGCGCGAACCGAACCCTAAAAACAAAAAACACACACACTCACACTCTCAAAGAGCTTTAACTGTAACTATTGCAGCTCTGCTTGCGTTCGCGTCGCCCGTGAAGCGACACCGCTGTCTGGCAGCTTGCCCGCACGGTGGCCAGCGATTCATTAAATTGAAAGAGAACGTTGAAAAAAGCACGAACGACAGCGAAAACTCACAAAAGGTGTGCGGCTCAAAGAATACAAAAACAGCAGTTTTGTAATGCTAAATAGGCAAATGGGGAAGCGACAACGACGGCGACGGCGACGGCGATGGCGATGACAGCAACAGCCGCAGCAGCAGCAGCAGCAATAGTCACAGGCAGCGCAGTTGCAGAGCGCTGGGCGTGCGTCTTGTTGTGGGGGTCAAACGTTGAAGTCTTCTGTTTCTGTCGAGCAGAACAAACAGTACGAAAGAAGAACAAAAACTACTGCAAGAATCTTGTTAGTTACTACAAATTACCGACACCAATGGGAACTAATTAAGTAGATTCCTTATATACATACATAATTAAATACCAGCACCACAAGAAAATCACATAATTAAGGAAATCAAAACAGACATGGAAAAGAACTTACCCGCAGTGGAGTGCGAATTATTAATTATTAGAGAGCAGCTGCGAAATAAAACTTACAACTTGACTGTAAAACGCACACAGGAACATACACAAACAAGCACACAAAGCACCAGACACACTTAAAGGCTACATTTTATGTATTGTTTGCTGAAACTTTATTGCATTTGCCAAACAAACGCCCATTTTTACTACACATTGCACTTTTCCTTTTACCTTCAGAAAGCAGACCCAAATACACAAACATGTTGCAACTTGCAAGCCCATAGAAAGTCTCAGCTAAAATCTGAGTTAATTTCACATTTTATTTCTTATGCTGCACAGCTAAAATGCACCGTTTTGTTTAGTAAAATTTAATTCCTTTCTGCACCCCGCTGTGTCATGTTTACTTCTAATTATGAAGACGGAACTAGTTCAATTCGAGAATATCGATATCCCATTGTTTTGAGCTGCAATACGATATTGAAACAAAGGCATTTTATCGTTGGCAGCTTATGGTAACACTGCATTTAACATTCTAAGCTTTAGAGCAAAATTTTTAATTTACAAAAATAATGTGTGATATATACAATGTTCAAAACGCCAGTCGCTTCATTAGCAAGTACATGTGCTGATCCACCTCGAATCCGTGTAAATTGTTGGCATCTCCTTGCAGACGCATCAGTAGACCACCAAACGAAACGTACGCCGACAGTCGTGATGACTCGTTGTGCGCCTCGTCGCCCTCAATGCGATAGATCTTCCCGTACATGACGTACTCAAAACTATCCGCTCGCGTACCTTCATGCTCCATGGGATTATATTCGCCGCTGTCGGGACAACCATCTTCACGCAATGTTGTGGCCAGCACCAAACGGAATTTGTCTCCCAGTTCCATGGGATACAGCCATGAATTTATATCCAGTATAAGGTCCATTTTAAATGATTCTGATTCGCAGTGCAGGCGGGAAACGCGATCAAATTTTTTGCCCTCAGGATCCATGTCCTTAACGTTGAATATGTCTTCGAATAACACACCAGCCATTTTACCTACGAAACTGTTTATAAGCTGAGCTATTCCACTTGTGGCCGCCAAATATTTACCTTATGTTCAAACCAAAAAATTCAATGCAGTCCAATTCAGTTATCAATACCTACTACTGGCACTCAATTGTTTGTTGCTATTATGTATATTTGTTTATTTTATGGCTATATTTTCATTAAAAATACACCGTTGTCGGCAATTCGGTTTAGCGTGCTATAGGGATGGATGCGTAGTAGAATGTTCACTAGTGGCGGTTTGCCGATATGTCAGCAACTAACGATATATCGATAAGAATTGAGTTGCCGGATAGATATATTTAGGAGTTCATCAGTTATAAAATGCTCGTTTGTATCAGAAAAATAACAATTTATTCAGAGCATATTTACAAGTATTCACATTATTTACCAGTTCTGCACTTGGTCAGAATAGGCAATAACGCGACCGCCGGAAAATATTGGCCTGCGTATGGCGGGCGTCAATTGGGCGAGAGGTGCTTTAGGTGAATTAACGGTAAGCTTGGCGGGCTTTCGTTTCAATGGGGCGTTAACAATTAGACGCGCAGGCCTGAATGGAATGCGGCGCTCCACGAATGGCAAAGTCAATTGAGTCGCTGGGAATGCAGCATTAACTCTATTGATAATCTTAGCAGGTCTCCTCTGTGGCCGAGCCGTCAACTTAGAGGGCCGTCGGTTGGACTGCACAGGACGAAGCATCTGACGGAAGGCGGTAAAACGTTGTACCAGAGGCAATACAAATTGTAGCTGTGGACGTAAGCTAGCCAAGCTTATGGTTGCTGCACTCTGTCCTGAACCATTGGCGCCTACATTCGTTGGGAGCTCCGGAGGACCATAGGTCTCATCAGGAATCTCTTCAACAGCTGGTGGGCCGTAGGTCTCATCAGGTGGTCCATAGACATCATCGGGTGGTCCGTAAACAAGCTCCGGCTGTTCCTCAGGCGGTCCATAAACAAGTTCCGGCTGTTCCTCCGGTGGTCCATAGGTCAAATCTGGTTGAGGAAAGTCAGCAGGCTGCTCGGTCGGCAGTTCAAATGGTGGATCAGGCGTCAAACCGGCTGGTGGATAAGGAGCAACCTCTTGTCGCTGTAGAACAGGTCCCGGAAAACGTAGTCTAGCCGCTTCACTAGCATCCAGGCTAACTGCCGCCCAAAGGGCCACAAATAAAAAGCTTGCTCCAAACATTTTGCTGTCACAACATGAACTGCTACTGCCCTCTGTCGACTGTCGACTTTAAATACCCATCATAGACCAAAGTTGACCTTCACCAGCAAAGTGTCCAAACTGCCCAAGTGCCCAAGTGCCCAAATTGCCAACAAGGCCAATCGAGCGATGACTTATACGGCAAGCCCAAGCGCTTACGTGCCCAACAGCCACTATGACTAAACCGTATGCATATGTGAGCCGAAGATATTATGTGGTTATGGGCAACTTTATTAATAGCTTTTACATGACTTAGATTACAATTTTACCAGTTGCGGCGCAGCACCAAGCGTTCCGGCACTGGCGCTTGCCTACGGCGAGCCTGTGGGAAGCGTTGATAGATTCTGGCGGACTTATTATCCTCGGGCTTATCGAGAGTCGTCGACACAGCGATCACGGTGCCATCTTCGGCCACTTGCACGAGCACTTCCTCCTCATCCGCATCTGCGCCGGGCTGCTGCTTCGCATCAACAGGAGTCTCCTCTTCTGGTATGTCGTCGGTTTCGATGGGCTGCTCGGGCTCCGGCTGAGGTTCCGGCAAATCATCTGGTTGTGGCTGCTCATCTACACTGGTGGGTGGCCCATAGACGCTGTCCGGAGGTCCATAGGTATTATCCGGAGGCAGGTACTTCACTTCCGGCTGTGCAGTGGAACTTGGCAGCTCAAAGGGCACTTCGGGAGTGATGCCAGCCTCTGGGTAGCCGGTGGGCGCAGGACTTGGTGGCGCCTGCTCCTGCCGTGCGAGTCCACGTCGCGGCACAAATCTCTGACGCAGTGGCTCCGCACTGGCCAGGACGGCGAGGCCTAGCAGCAGAAGTGTTGAAGCAGCTTTAGTCATTTTGACGATCGATTCAATTCTGTTCTGAGTTGCCCAAGAGCTCGGCCTATTTATAGGGGCCTCCCGGTCAGATCTGTCGTTCATAATTTATGCTCGTCACTTTCGATTGTAGGCCTCCTAGCAGCTAGCTAGCTGTGTAGCTAGTTGCTGTTCTCGTTCGCTCGGCACGGCTTTGATTATGTTGGCCCGATCGAATCGGCTTGTGATTTCTGTTTAATGCTGGCTACGTGACCCTTTTCCCAATTTTGGCAGCCAATGCTAACCGGGTGTTTATCAAGTGCCGGTGGCGCTGGTCTCTCTCCCTCATTAACACGCCGACGACAGCGGTTCCAATAGGCTTTAGCTCGTAGTTCAATTCCCCATTTGTTTATTTCGGTGGGTTCTTGGCTATTCATAATTTTTCTTAATGGCTTTTATATTCATAACCATTGGCCTTTTCGGAAACGTGTCTGGAGAGCCACACCATTAGACCAAATTGTCGTCTAGGTCAGTCTCTTGACTATTGTTCAATTGGACATACAAATCTCCTTCAATTAGGTTCTTATATCCAAATGCAAACCTCATATCCAAATTTAAACTTTTTGTATGTCCTTATGATCCAGTAATTAACATAATAATATTTTTAAAATTGTCTTCTATATAATCTATAATAATAATCGATCTATAATATTAGATTCCCTTTAAGGGTATAAAAAGCAGAGTTGAAATTAATGATTTGCCATCTGTTTATTTATTTATTACATATCTTTCAGAATTGAATGATGTCTCTACAAATAAATATATTTGTTTATATATATATATATATATATATATATATATATATATATACAGTTTTTTAAAGAGCCAAAGTCGGTCGTATTAAAGCTCTATATTTTGCATTTTTGAATTTCTAAATAAATGCATGCTAAAATATTCGTAATATACCTGAATGTCCTCCTATATTTATATTTAACTGTGTTGTCTTTATGCCGAACAGCCATTTATTGGAAATTATTATAATTATTTTATTATATATTATTATATTATTAGGTTGACCCAGGCTTTGCACCGAGTAAAAAATAATGATATACAGTACAGTATTGAAAAAAAAGATGATTTTTTTTTTTTTTTTTCAAATCTATTATTGAGTATTAAATTTGTTAAATATATTTATCTTTTATATATATTTAAGCATTCGCTAAGACAAGTTTTTAGAATAGATTATACTTCGAGAAAATATCTCAAATCAAGATTAAAGTAATTAAAAGATATGAAGACATTAAAAGAAACAAAGGTTTGAAACAAATTGTTGTAAACAAAATCCAACATTTTTGCGTTTATTATGCGTATACAGCCATATATACATATCGGTATAGATATCCAACGAAAGTTACAAAAATATAGATGAATATATTAAAAGTCAACTCTAAAGTAGATTTTTTATTGTTATGCAGATCTAATATCTAGTTTAAATTTGTTCCCTTTAACTTACCAACAAATATTGGATAAACGAATCTGTTGGCCAAAATTAAAACTGCTTACAAGAAATTTGAAATTTTGTTTAACAAAGTTTTATTTATGTGTATTTAATAAAGAGTTAACAAATATTTGGATCGATGACTCGTGAAGAACATTCGCAACAACAGTGCATCTATTGGATGGTGTAGACCAGAACTGGCTTGGATCGTATGATCTGAGCGGAGCGCAGCTTCTCCGATGCTGGACCGCGCAGGCGCAGGCGACCATTGCGTGCAAGGATCAGGCTGGCGGGAATGGGCTCTGAAGCTGGATCGGCATCGGCTGGAGCCAGATCCTGGTCTTGGTCCAGATCAGCGGCAGTGTCGGCAGGGGGCGGGCCATAGGTGTTGTCGGGCTCGGCAGGTGGTGGGCCATAGGTGTTGTCGGGCTCGGCGGGTGGCGGGCCATAGGTGTTGTCGGGTGGGCCATAGGTCAGATCGGGCTGCGCCTCGGTCTCCGTCTCGGTGGGCAGGTCAAAGGGTATGGCGGGCGTGACGCCTGCAGGCGGATAAGGGGCCGAGGCTGGCGTGGGGGCAACGTCCACAGCTGGATCCACAGGCGCTGGCGATGCCTCCTCCTGGCGAGCCAAACGGAAGCGGGATGAGCGACTGCGCAGACGTGCCGGCTCCGCCACAGAGACCGCTGCGATGGCAGCCAGGATGAGCAGAGAGCTGGTGAACTTGAAAGCCATGTCGAACTGTTGCTGGTTGTTGTTAGAATGTTGATATCGACTGCGAATCGCCGACTTTTTATACACGACATTTTGGCAGTCATAAATGGCACGCCGAGGGACACCCTCAAGATGGTGTCCACATACGTGCACCTACGTGACAATATTTCGTCAAGGGCCCATGTCTAACCCATAACCATATAACCGCCGACCATTAATGCGATTCGCCACTTAACTCTGAACTTCACACACTCGATCGGCGCGCACTGCTGCAACCTGGACGTAAAGCCCATCAAATTGTATTTTGGGCAAATGCTCAACTGTCTTATCCATGTGCTTCAGCTACATTGGTGCAAAAACTATGAAGTTGCTTTAGGTGTTTAATAAGTTAAATAAAATTAAGTAAAACATATGGATCACAATATTCGGAATGTACTATATATAATACATACTATATATACTATATACTTATAAAAAATAAAGAACTATATAAACCAAAAA